TGTAAGTGATTGTGATTGTGTGTGTGAGTATTTCGTGGGCTTGACTTTGACAGCGAACGTTGCAGTTAGTGGCAGGTGAGGTTACCATTATATATTTCTTTTTAGCATGATAGACAAATATAGAAGAAGATAGAGATAGAGAGAGAAAGGGAAAGAGATAGATAGATGGATAGCGCGATAGTAAATGCAAAATTGTCATAAAACTGAAAAGGATTTTTAATTTTTTTTTTTTTTAGTTTATAAAAGGATTAATACAACTTCTAAAAAAATCGAGTCATCAGGTATAATAGGCTCTTACGAGCTCTATCGTTTCTACACTTTATAGAGTCCAATGACGCTTGCGATATATATCAAAAAATTGTCTCCCACTTATAATCAGAACAGGCAGACTAACAAGTTTTTCTATTTTGATATAAGTACGACCATATGGAGATTCTTAGATATATTACAATATATATAATCATATATGGAAATGACAAGTTCATGCCATTGTTTATATCATTATTCCAAAATTATTTAGCAATAAAAAGAAAATCAAATTGCTCAAATTATTTTACAAATAAATAGAACTTGCTCTAATCATTATAAAAATCTATGTAAAGTGTTACTTTTTGATAGTTGAATACATTTATTCAAATAACGTCTGTCCCAAATGCCCTATTCGAAACCCCTTCATGCATTATTCTACATAATTTTATATTATATTACAATTTTCTGTTTAATTCAAGGTGTTGGCCTTTTTGTTTATACAAAAGTCTTACGTTTAACGCTCCGTCATACCAGATTAATCAACTCTTGACCTTATTTTGCCTAAGAATGTGACTGCATAATGCTCTTAGCCAGGCCTCTATTATGCAGCCCTCTCGTCTCTCATATTTATAGACTTTGCACGTGTTTTTAATTGTTTAAATTGAATCAAAAATTGAATCAAAAGTTGCTCGTTGTTTTGGAGTCTTATGGACTGCGCAGCAGACCCAGACCCAGATCCCAATTCAGTTTCTTAGATCTTGATTGAGTCCGCGACGCAGTCTGAGCAAATGCAGTTACGTTGGTGCGTGGGGTCTGATCTACAGACAGCTCCCCTCCACGTCTGCGTCTCATTTTGCATACGTAATTTTTATTGGGGGCCCCCATTCCCCCTCCCTAATTAAGTTTTCTGTTGTCTCGACGCAATTTCAATGGAATTAGAAAACTTTGCTGCCCGATTATTGTTATGCGCGGCCCGTCGATTATGGCCCATAATTTCGAGAGCATTTTGTTGTTTTTGACGTTTTTATCGTTCACTTAGTTGCTGCCGAAAAAAAAGAAAAAACAGCAATAACAAAAAAATCAATGAAGAAATGTAAAGCTAAAAAAAAAAAAAAACTAGTTGAGGCCAACGAAAAACCAATCGAAATACTTGCATCAAAATGCGACACACGCATCGTGCAGCATTTACTTTATTGGAAAAGTCGCAGAAAATAAGAAGAAACAAGTGCATTCTAGGTGTGAATGCTTAGCTTAGCAGATACCCTAGAAAGAGTGTGTGAAAGAATTTGAACTATTTTAACATTGATTCTTAACTTAGGGCAGAGGTTGAAAAATATTCCATAGGTATATAGAAATATATAAAATAAAATAGTTCTATCGATAAATATCGAACTGTAGATTATATATAAAGTAATTATAAATCTTGTAATAATAATATATAATATAATAATATTCAATTTAATGATATTAAAATTTTGTATTACTTTGATAATATCAATTTGGCGATAAATATCGATTCATAGGAGAGTATATACCTCCAATTATATATCATATAAATCATTATATGTGTGAGGCACGTTGTTCACATTTCTATTTTCGTTTGGATAGTAATAATATTCCTTTATCGATATACGAATAGCGATGCATGGATAAGCCATTATTCTTACCTATCTCATACATCATCACACCCCTTTCATATGTAGAACAGGGTATATAAAAATGATTTTCCCGCAGAATGCGGACACACGCAGTGGACGTTGATGGCAACAACAATCACAACAACAACAACAATCACAACAACAACAACTAGCTTAAAAGAGGTGATGCAGGTGGAGAGCTGCTGCTGCTGCTGCTGCCGCTAACCGGCTGCACTTTCAAGCTTGGCAATTAAAATATTGACAGTTTTTCCATAGAGTGCGGAATAAGAAGTTTTTCTATTTTTTCTAATTTTCATTTCTTTTTTGTTAGTTAAGGATTTGTTCTTCTCGAAACATTTATTTATAAGAGCTCCTGCTGATGTTGTATATGTTTCGTGTTGCTGTTGTTGTTGTTGTTGTTTTTGGCGCGAAAGGTTAACGCGACATGTTCATGTGACAATGTCATAGAACTGCCGGCAGTCGGTTTGGTCTGAAGCGCATAAATAACTGCGTTTGTGACATGGAATGCCAAAGCCAAAGCCAAAGCCAAAGACCGAGAGGGAGACGCAGAGCCAGAGCCAGAGCCAGAGCCAGAGCCAAAGCCACAGCCAATGCTTGTCGCCAAGCTGTGTGGCAACAGACCTAGTCCCAGACGGCTCTCACTGCCCGTCTGTCTGGGCTGTTGGCCATGTCTAGCGCGGATTGGCCTGCTGCTGCTGCTGCTTCTTCTGCTGGTAGCAAGGTGCGGTGCCCATATGAAGCACTCAAAGCTATTTGTAGTCGTCGCTGCTGCTGCTGCTGCTGCTTATGGAAAATTTGTAAGATGTTTTCCTTGTGCCGAGTTTCTTGACTATTTTTATTTTTTCCATTGCATCACAGCAGATGCGTGATAAAAAAGAAAAATATTTAAGTGCCAGCCGCAATGGATAATACATCAGTGGGCCACATATATATGTGTATATAAGTGTCTATATATACATATATATATTTAACGTGATTCAAGTGCACATTTGCACGGATAAGCTCAGGCATAAAGCGTCTAGCTTTATGTTGATTAGTTGGCTTATTCGGGAGGTAGTGGAATCAAGATGCACTTTGATTCTCAGCAAAGATCTTACAACAAAAGATTAGACATAAGTGTGTGATAACATAGAAGATTTATGGAATTAGTATAAGAAAAAAAAAAAACTCAAGTATTTTAAAACTAATCTGAGATGAAAGGAAATTCGATTAAACAGAAGTCTTACAACTTAACCTGCAGAATAAAAAGCATATTATTTTAGTTTTAATTAAGTTAAATATTATCTTTATATTCCAGCTTTTTTTTTTTAATTTATTGAATATCAGTGAAAAATAGAAAGTGAAAATAGAAATGGAATCTTTCTGTTAATGATTAAACAATATTCACTCGGTAATCTGAAGTTTATGTACAGAGGCAAAATCACAGAATTAACACTCCAACGCGAATCTATATTCTATATAAATATTTATATATTCTATATAAATATTTATTCTCACACCTGAGCATTTGGCAGATGGAATCTAATTAGAGAACTTCTACAAACGGATCAACGCAAGCTTAAAATGGAAAGAACTAATCAAAGATATATTTTTAATATCGAGAAACTATAGAAAAAAGAGAATTTTCTCTTAGACTTTGCTTAGGGTTACTCTACATATGAATTATAAAGTTTATTATACTCATTCACGAAAGTGAATCAGTATATTGGTTTTGTGCAATGTCCGTCTTGCTGTCCGTCCGTCTGTCCGTCTGTCCGTCCGTCCGTCTGTCCGTCTGTCCGTATGAACGCAATCTATTTCGGCGCTATTGAAGCTAGAGACTTGAAATTTGGAACACATACTCGTGTATATCTCCGATTTATAAAGTGTTAAAATTTTCTCGATCCGCCCTCTAGGGGCGTGGCAAATCGGAAAATGCATTTTCCGATATACCAGAAATCATGTTAGTTAAAGAGCTAGAAAGCTGAAATTCGGTGTGTAGGTCCGCGTTGACCACCCAAGATCACGAGCTATGGCGGATATATCTACGCCCATTGGGGGCGTGGCAAATCGGATAAAACTGTATCTCCTAAAGTTGTAAACCTAGAATGCTGAAATTTTGCACGTCAGCTAATGGTATGACTCTATAAAGTCTATAGATAAAATTATAAGTCTATGCCCATTGGGGGCGTGGCAAATCGGACCTGAAGATATAGTGATTTTTTAAATTCTCCTATATTTTGGACACTACTGATGGCAGAGACCTCAAATTTTGTATATATACTCGGACTGATCACCCAAGACCAAAAAGTTTTGTCGGATATATGTCCGCCCACAGGGGGCGTGGCAAACCACAAAAGTTTATATCTCCTAAAGTATAATAGCTAGAAGCTTTAAATTTGGATAGTTGAGTTACTGGTAGCCTCCTCTATCGATTCCCCAAAAATAATTTTTACGCCTCTTTAGGGGCGTGGCATATCGAAAAATACCCTGTAATTTTCACATTTTTTTAGGTTAAGCATTCAAACTTTGCAGTTAGGGTACCGTTATCTCTTTCTAAAAACTGACCAAAAATGAGGTGTCTACGCCCAGTTGGGGCGTGGCAAATCGGAAAAACCTGTATAATCTACAGTATTAGAGCGAAACTTAACTACTAAATTGTTGATGGGATGTGAATGAGTATTCCGCAGTCGGTAACGCCCGACTGCAACGTTCTTACTTGTTTATATGTAAATTTATTTATATACGTTAATTATATTTATTTATATATAACTTTTTATGTAATACAAGAAAATGTATTTTCATTATATTTATTTAATATTTATATTATTAAAAATCAAAATATCATTTTTTTCATTAGATGAAAAGATCTTAAACAAGCTCGATTTGCAATCTTTGCTATGTTGCCAACGCACTTGTCGCTGGCAACATGTGGCCAGCCGCTTGGCAACATGTGCTAGTCGTCTAGCAACACGCGTGCAACATGTTCGAAGCGAACGGCTTTCGCCTTTTTGGTCAACATTCTCTGATTGGGACAAATCTAGTGATGTAAATTTGGGTCGAAAATTCGATGTCGATGTTCATCGATGTTTGCAAAATGATAAATCGATGTTGTGTAAAACATCGGCTATAAACATCGATGTATCGATGTTTTCTACCAATTCCGTTATTTTTCGTTAATTCAATTCTTAAACAACATTTCTTCAACATTTTGTTCTATTTTATGAATGGACCGCAGGTGGTCCTTCATGTTGGTCGTGTTACCCGCAATCTTCAAAACTTTGTTGCAAATGTTGCATTTCGCGCTATTTCCATCAATTTTGTAAAGTGCCTCCAGCAAAAGCTTGTCTTTGTTGTTATTCTAGAATAAATACATTTGTAATTGCAAATAACTATATTTATATATATTTTCAACAATTTACTTACTTTGGCATTGCAAACACAGGGTAAAAAAAAGAAACAAATTCGCGAATTTTTCTATGTGGCAGTGTATCCATATGTTCTGCAATGTTGTGAAATTTAACGCCCGATGTTCTGTCAAACATCGATGCATCGCTTAACATCGGTATCAATAAAAACATCGGAAAACATCGGAAAACATCGCCAAAAAAACATCGATTGTCGATGCATCGATGTTTTTTCACAAATCGCGATCAGTTGCAATGAGACGACGCGCGCGCTTGGTTACATGACGAGAATCGTTCGGCTGTCCACAACGAAATTGTCGCGTCTAGAGTTACGTATCGGTGTACGTGTGTGTGCGAGAGTGTGAGTGTATATTAAAATTTGTTTATGCAGAAAGCAAAAAATAAACGAGTAACAGAAGACACAGCACACGCCGCGCACAGCAAATCATCTTTTCTCCGTATGCAATTCTGCGGAAATGGCAAAAACCGAACAGGAAAAACAAAAAACATAAATTAAAATTCAATCGAATCAGCATTCGGATTTGTTTTTTGTTGATTCTAGCCAATTGCGAACCCCCGCAAACTTAACGTTAGTTGGTGTAATTAATTAATTTAGTATTTTTTTGTAATATATTTTTCACACACGTCAAACGCGACGCGAGGCGACACGTCGCGGCACGTACGAAACAGCAATAAGAGAAGAGAGCCAAACAAAAAAAAAAAAAAAATCATTTCATTTGCCATGGCGATTGAAGCGATTCGATTCGATTGATTGCTCGCTTGATTGATCTATTTTTGCACTTGATTTGCGACGCACGCGCCGCAGCTAAAGAAGTCGCAACGTGACTGGCGCTCCGCTCCAGTTGCAGGTTGCATGTTTCAACGTGCAACGTGTAACGCGAAGGCGAGAAGACGAGACGGGACGAGCGGGCGAGCCACTCAGTTGGCAATTATGTTGATTTGTGCAACGTGCGACTTCATCGATCGTGCGACAGAACCGGACCGAACCTATCCGATCCGCCGATGTTGATAACACTACAACAACAAAAACTACAACAACAACAGCAACACAAATTTGCAATGCAAAGAAAGAAAATTGATTTGATTTGATCGCTTGATCCACGCCAGATTATTATCTCTTGGTATTCTTTGCATTTTATGTTGTTGTTGTTGTCTTTGGATTTAATATTCGCGCGATCGTGACACGCCCACTATTTGATTATAGAATACGCGCGCAAGGTGTTCATTAGCTGGGCGTACATTGAATGGAGAGTGCAAAAATTTTAATAATAATAATAATAATCAATAATAATAATGATGCTGATCAGAATGATAATGATAATGTAATGCCAACGAATCATCTACTAAAGGAATTTCCTGTAAGCAAAGTGTGAAGAATGGGCGAAAAAATATTTATAACAATTGATGGTTGCGGCAGAATGTTTGCGGATATAAAAAAAAATTAAAAAAAAAAAAAAAAAAAACACATTATAACGAAAAGTATTATGTGCAAAATAATGTTTCTAATCTTTGAGAGTCTGAACAGATATTTGATAAATAATGACATTATATAGAAGTTTTTTTTTAAAATATAATATATATTCATTTTCATAATGTTCTGTTTGTATTACTTATAAAGATTTGAATGATATAGCCTCTTATTTATTTCCTATCAAATAAGTTGATTACCAATATATATTTTTATAGTACAATATATGTTGTATAAAAAAAATTTATTACGATGTTTTTACAAAAGTAATCCTATTAAAATTTTATTGAAATCTTCCATCTCAATGACACATTTTCATAAAACTTCGCCAACTTCAGATTTCGTAAAGATTTCCAAATTATTTACTACCAAACTGAATATATTTAATCTTCGTTAGGCAATAATATTTCACAACAATAATTTATTTACGTTGTCTTTTGATTCTTAATTGAAGTTTGGCTTAAAGCATTCAGACATTCCATATCCAATAAATCAACAACTGAATTCAAGTGCTCATCAAGAGATGTTCCCAGGCCCAAGGCCCGATGACGCCTTCCATCCAAATATTTGCCTTTATATAGCTCTCAATTGTGACCAGTTTTAGTGAGTTTAAGCTTCGAATCACATTTACATATGTAATTACAAAGAGCTATTAATAAGCTTCTTCTGTTTTGGGGGCTTTGGCAAAATGCTAAGCTACTCCTACAAATGCAAAGCTGATTATATACTAAGTACGAAATCGGTGTTCAAATCAATGGCTAATAGACGCAAAAGATTACACAATTCCTAGGCCCATAACTCATTAGTGGAACGCCCTAGAGCTCTATTTAGTGGCTGATTGTCTAGACGGTGGACTATCGGGCACTATTTGTTGTTGTTGTTGTTGTTGTTGTTGTTGAAATGCGGCTGCAAGTGATGATTGGCTCGGACATGCATGATGATTAATGGGCGAGACTGCACAGATTTATGGATGAGTTTCCTCTGTCCCCCACTTGGCCTAGCCCCATCTTCTTCCTGCCCCCTTTATCTTTTGCTCTGCCCATCTTCTTGTAGCTGCAACTAGTTTTTATTTTTTATTTTTAATTCTGGGAATGCTAATAGAGCTGCAACTGCTGCTTAACTTGGCCTGAAGCCGGCTTCCCGGAACCCAAAGTATCCATAGGGCTCATACAGTAGTTGTCATTGTCTTAGATACTCTCATTTTCTCGTCTCGTTGTTTTTGGTGTCGGTCGCTATTTGCCCAACTGACAGATAAAAGCAGAAACAACAAGCGCATATATGTGACATTCCATTAGCCAGATGACAAATGCAACAATGGGGCAATATTTGCTCTCGTCTGATAAGCTTGGCATTCTATTATTTTTCATAGTTCTTCATTTTCTTCTCTTCTCTTCTTTTTGTGTTAATGACTTGTAAATAAAGGTAAATTTTTAGTTGGGCGCGTGTTGCCAAAAAATGAAATAATAAATTATGTATGTACAAAAATTATAGATATTATAAAAAGGCGGTAATCCAATTAAACGGCTCAAGCCACAGTGAGAGACCGGCTGACCCAATTAGGCGCGCTCCTTACCGATCCTCAGCGACGATTTGAACTTGAAAGCGGCGCCTCTCCATTGTTCTTTGTGGCGAGCCCGTCTCTCTCTCTTTCTCTCGCTCCCTTCGTCGCTCTCACTCTAATAAAAACGAGTTCTGACAATGCGCAACTCCCTACACAAGAAAAAAAGATCGTATCGCGCTGATCTAACGGCCGCCCAACTCAGTCTCAGATCTCACTCCATCTCACTCTCTCTCTCTCTCCTTCTCTTTCACTGTCTGTTGCTCCTTCGCATTGCTCTGCGTTTCAAATTGTAGATCAAAGATCAAGCAAGAAATACTTAAATTGGCATACCACAAACCCACAAAAGCCGCAAGCCAAAAACAAAGCCTGAAGCATAACGAAACGTGGTTACCCTATGATTTAACTGTTTTTTCTGATTCTTGATCATTGGCTTTGCTGTGAAAATTTTGAGCAGAGTTGTATTTGATTAGAAGTCGAACTAAGTTTTAAGCATTGAAGTTAAATTATTTGAATTGAGAGATTATATTTCAATTATAACTGAATTTTTATATGCAGATGAACGTGTTGCGTGATCGTTAGATCGAGTTGATTCAAAGAGAAATTCTGATGATACAGTTTATATTGATAGGTATATCACAATTGCTTCAGTTTCTACTTGATACAAAGACAATGAAATTTATTCCTTATCTGCAGCTCGCGATCAGTCAAGTTCTAAATCTTTCAATTCAAGTGATCAAACATTTCGCCCAATCGAACAATGGCAATAAAAATTTAGCAAATTATATTGAAAACATGCACATAAATCTAAATTGTTATGCCGAGAGCTAATGCAGGGTACCGCCACATATGGTAAATATCATGAAGATCAATGGTCGAGACGTATAGAAGTAACATTATAATTTTAAGTTTAATTACTTCCTCAATTGCTGGCGTCTAGGCGAACACAGATAGAGAGATAGAGAAAGAGAAACAGAGATAGAGAGATAGGGAGAGAGAGAGCACACTTCTGTCTGTCACTCAAATCAACGGACATCAGTTTGAAAGTTTGCAGCAGCTGCTGCTGTCGTTTGATCGAGCGAAACAAGTGCATTCGAGGCAAGTGATTGAGTTGGTTTTTGGTCAGAGAGTTCGAGTGTGTGAGTGTATGAGTGTGAGTGCGAGTTGGAGTTCGAGTGCGCTTGTTTCATATGCATATGAGTGCTGCTTTCTACGCTCGCAGGCGACCCTTTCCCATGCAGCGACACACACGATTAATCACATACACACACACACACACACACACAGTCGGCAGCCACGATCAGCGATCGTTATCGAAAAAGCATAAAACTGACACAAAGTCAAAGTTAAACAATGCAACTTGCTTGAACTCTAAGACTTTTCGACTCTCTTCGAATCTCGACTCGCGACTCTCGACTCTTGACTAGACAACGACAACGACAACGAAGGAAACTCGCAAACGACGAACGACGAACAACGAACATACACTGCGATCATGCTGTGTGCGATCTTGACAATCAAGATCAATATCATGCCATTACAATATTTGTACAAGACGCTTTGCCTCTGCTCTCCATCTGCTTGGCATCTAGGCACAGACTGACTTTCCAACATACTACAAGGCCTACGGGCCATAAGAAAAACGTAAAATAACTACAGAAGGCAATGGAAATATATAATTTTTCATGTAACGATATTGCAATGCCCTTTCTTCAACAGAGAAGTTTAGGAAATTGTAACAGTTGGACTCGACTTATAAATTTCTCTAAGTCTGCAGCTCAATTTATTTAGATCTGGATATCTCTGCAAGTGCATTAAAAACATTCTCAACTGCTTAACAAAAAATCTTTAAATTTGCCTGCAAACAATTCTTCAATATTTAATTTTAATTTATTATAAATTAAAAATTGTTTAAAAAGATCTATCGATCGGCAATTAACTTTATTTGGATCTCATATTAAAATCTCTGCATATCCATTGACAACTTTCTCATCTGCTTCACAACTAGACTTCTTAAATAACTGTTGCTAGTTAGCCGACAACTCGGACGGGAGTGCTATAGTATCCACGGCCTCTCATATTACCTAGATTATATGGACAAACACAAACGTCTAGGGGTTTGGTATACAAATTAGCCTGAACCTAGGCCAAGCGCGTTTGCATGCCCGCTGTTGTTGTCTGCTGGGCTCGCTTGTCCCGGAAAATGCTATAATTATGCAAT